ATTTTTCATCCTCCACTTGTGATTCTGGAGTTCAGCTCCTACCAAAGGTAATGAGGCGCCTCCCTCACTTCGCCCTGACCGGTGCCAGTAATTGTCGGCAGTGTGGATCAACATGAATGTAAGTGTTTTACCAGCGACTGGGAACAAGTGCGCTGACTTGCACACAAACTATATCAGATGACGCCTCCTGAGTGCACTTTCAGCAGGCATATATTCTTGATCTCTTTCTGTTGCACTCTGTCTACTTTGCACCCACCACCTCTTACAGTATTTTCCAAACAATATACCTACAGGGGAAAATCGAAGCCAGACCTGATGGCTCTCCAGTGTCCGAAATGGACGTCACCTCTTTTGTTACCTGCCTTTATTCATCACTGTATACTGTGCTACTGTACAAATGTGGATAGGACATCTTGCTATCTTGCATTAAGCTGCTGATCAATTACTGTTGAGGCGCAAATATTGAACTGCATTTAATAATCATAAATTAAAATAAATATAATTTGTTAAGTTTCTACAGATGCTGTGTTTATTTCACAGATTCTCTATCTTAAGTGTGCTTTCCAGGCATTAAAGGGTGTGTGCTGTGTTGTGTTATCCACTTATTTGGTTAAGAAAGACCATATGTTTGACTTAACTTATGGAAAAGTGTCTCATGAATTTGCAGAGTGGTCTTTTTTCTATCATACCACTTTTCCCAACACTAACCACTGGAGGCCATAGTCAGGACAGCTACGGCCTAATGTATTCTCTTAAGGAAAAACAAAACTCCAAATCCCAGTCATGTTTAGTTCAAGGACACTTCTCCTCAGTCTCTGAAACCATTTGCACCATAAAAATGTGAAACACAACGGGGGCGTCTTTCTTTAAGGAAGTAATCTGCTTTAAGTGCACATATCGTTTTCAATTTAATTATAAACTATAAAACAAGAGAAAACTCTTTCCGAAGGTTGCAGGTGGTGATGAAAGGTTCTGAAGCTCATTTACTTTCTGCGAAGCTTCAAAGGACATAATAAGGTTTTATACTGGGTTGAACCCGGCTGCTGACAGGCTCACATTCTTTTTATTTTGCCTGGTCAAGTCATGAACTTTGCATCACAACTTTTTTCTATGCACTAAACAGGAATATAATGTTGTGATGTGATTCTTTAATGTTTGGATTCAGGGCTGTTTTCAGAAACAAGATGTGTTTCTATTTTCCATGAGAGGGAAGTAGTTGCTTTAGAGAAAAATTGTATTAACCAGAATTGGAAGAGAAGGTTGAAAGATAATTTCAGTTTATTTCAAACTGGTGTATTTCATATAAAGATGGCTACTGGCTGAGTTATAAGAGTTTCAGTGGAACTGAGGACTCTTACAAAACAAAACAATGCATATTGGGCAAGTTACAGCACGAAATCATCCTACAGCTTTCCAAATAAACAAGAATCTTAAATGAATCATTTCGAACACTTGTCTCCAAGTCTGACTGAAAGTACACCCAGGAAGTGTTTACTAACGGCTGTTCCAACTGGCTACTTTCTGTGTTTACTTTTGGTTTGAGTCAAAGACAAGTTGTTGAAAGTCACGTAAAAATTCATGTTTATTTGGAAAGCTGGCGCTGCTCGCCCTGATATACCTTGTTTTGTGCAAGTAGCCTTGTTGCTCTGAATCTCAACACGAGAGGTGGTGAGAGCAAAGTTAGCACGGCTCAAAGATCCACTAAATCCACGTTTATGGAAATAGACCAGGTCGGAAAAAAAATAAATCCTAAATGTTAACAACTGCAAACGCAACTTAAACCCAACAGTAAAATTCAAAGCACAGAATTGGAGGCCAAACTTTCTCCCCCGTTGATTTGCAGACCTTCTGATTAAAGAACCAACACCAGGCTCACTTTTTGTGAGAAACCTGTGAGTAGTGTAACTTAATATAAGAAAAGTTTATAAAAACAAAGCAATCGTACTTTTTCAAAGACGACCAAAAAGCTTTCACAGGCTCTGTACAACACCACAGGTGTGTTTGATTTCTCTCGCCCGCCAGGACCTCATGTCAAGTTATTCGCTGAATCTACACAAAGCTCCACGGACCAATAAGAACAACTACGGTGTAAGGTCATGGAAGATGACGACATTTATTTCAAATGAACCCCCATAGACCATCATGGTATAATGTGGACGTGGAAACATTGAGTGAGTAGCTTTATGCAGACAAAGAGAAAATGATTGGGCCTGATAGCTGAAGGGTGACTGGAGTTGGACAGCTTTTTGAGAGCAAAGTGATCTACTGGGGTACTGCAGTATTATGAGCTCTTTGAGATTCGTATGAGTTTGCTCATTAAAAGCTTTTTACGTAAGCAATTCTAGTCTGGATCTGACAGGAGCCAATGCAGAGAAACCAGTATGGGACAAATATTCTCTTTTTCCAGTCTTTGTCTTCCAGAAAGGTTCAAAAGTATAGTTCACCCAAAAAAGAAAACTCACTCATGATCTACTCACCACTGTGCCGATGGAGCGGTGGGCGAAGTGTTTGAGTCGACAAAACACTTTGGGAGTTTCAGGAGTAAACAGCGTTGCAGCTAAATCCAGTAGAATTGAAGGTGACGACTTCTTAAAAACATTTAAAAAATGAAGAAAAAAAACATAAACACCTCCATATTGGTCCTGTGGTGTCATCCCAGTGTCTGTAGGCCCCGGCATTCAAATTCAATGAATCTGCTTCATTTACACTGTGGTTTAATCCAACATGTCCTCTGTTATCCTCTCCAAGTTACTGCTGCAGTTCTCACGAGAACTCACGATAGCTGCAAGAGTAGAGAGTACAGTGAGGAGTGTGGGCATGGAGGTGGCTCAGAGAGAACCTCCACCTGTACCAGGGGAGTCATCAGAGCAGCTGAGGGCTGTTATCTGATTACTCCTCAGTGTTACCAGGCAACAGAAAGAGCTGCCACAGGGAGGAGGGACACATCATGAGAGACACATGAGGGACACATGAGGGACACATGAGAGACACATGGACAGAAGAAAGTTGAGATGCCAAGCAAAGACTGCTGGATACTTTAAGTAGAGTTAGTTGGATTCATGTATGATTAAGATTAAAGAAGCTGAAAAGCAACTGGTTTGCCTCTGGCTGCCGTGGGGAGACCCCGGTGGCATCGTATATACAAACATAAATCCAATAAACCTTACTCAAAGTGTCCAGCAGTCTTTGCTCGGCAGCTCTCTTCTGTCAACACAGCATCTTTAACTTGTACTCACTGAGGGCCACATCCACTTGTTGCTGTGTCACCTGTTAGCCAGAGTGATAATACTTTGAGCCCCAGCGGTGACCTCTCAGTGTTGCATAACCACCACCCAAACAAGTTCCTGTGAGAGACAAACCACCTTGTCCTTGTCAAATAAATGAATGTTTAGGTGTCACCATGATCTGATCCCTTTGTCATAACATCATTTGACCACAATCATGGACTCCAGGGCTCTTGGCCCAGCAACATGACAGTTGCTCTGTTTATCAAGTATCCTGCTATGACAATCCATTTCCTCTTCATTTCCTTCTGTGCATCCTGCATGAACTGTCGGACCCACCACTGCATTTGTTTTGAGAGTCTTTGTAGAGTGTCTTCTGTGTCGAGGAGCCGCAGCCATGTTATCACGAAGTTCCTTCTGGACGGGATAGAAAATAAACATTTGTGGCTTTGGGAAACCAATTAAGCTTATAATCCAAAAACTATGAAAGGATCAATTCCCACTGGAGGTAACGTCACTCCTGGACATTCACATATCTAAAATAAAAAAATAACAACATCCTGAAATGAGGTGAGAACAAAATCCAAATTAGAATTATAGATGCTGATTAAGAGTTTCATTGGTCTTAAAACTGTAAAAAAAAAAAAGAATTATCCAGCAGGTCTCATTTAAACACTTCCCTCCAAACAGATGTTTTCTTTAATAGTGCCAAATAAATAGGATTGTTTTTGAGGGTCATTAAATGAAGCCATTCTGCAGATCTATTTCTAATCTTATCTATATTGTGTCTCTGGGCATATAGGTACAATGAAATAAAATAAACATTAACTTTAGGAAACAGACTATTTTTTTGTGTTACCTCATCATTACATTTTTATATATTGGTTGTGTGGACTGGAATTGGATTCAGCCTCAATTTGAGCCAATTTAAAGATCTGATCTGCATTTTAGGAGAGTCACCTGATTACCATCATAAGCTAAATGTGTGTGGTGCATCTCATTAGGTTCATTATGTTTATTTAGTGAATCACCTCCAAATAGATTCCTAGAAGAAAGAACCATTATGTGGTACTGATTACAGGTGGGAATAAAAAAATCAATAATCGGTCGATACACTTCCTGGTTGTTAATTACGCAGAGAAGGTTTTGTTTTCACCTTTGTGTTTTTATAGTTTGTTACTTTGTTTAATTGTCAGCAGAATTTCATCAGATCTGACCTCCACCTTTTTCTTTTTCTTTTTCTACTACGAGAGCCAGACAGACTTGGCCTTGGTGGAGTTAAATGCATCACTCCACCAATGTAGTTTCAAGATGCAAAGCTGGCACAACCGTGAGACTTTTATTCATAGGGTGGTAGTTGAGCTAAACCTGCGTAATGGGAAATTTCAGCCATAAATTAATGAAGTGAATAGAATGAAGTGAATAAATAGAATGGAGCAATTACTTTGCAAATATAATAAACTGATGCATCCAACTTAATTAACCCAAAGAACGAGCGCAGGACTTTGTCTTTTCTCCTAATTTTTCATTCCAAACTCTTTAGTTCTTTCCAGGACGCTTTCATGAATTATTAGGAAAACAGATTATTGTTATGTTTTCTGTCTGTGCGTGTGAGCAAAAATGTGCCTGAATTTAGTCCAGTCGGTGCTGATGGAATTTGCTTAAATCACAGAAATGAAATGACTATGAAGCCAGAAAAATAATAATTTCCACCAATGTGCAAAGAAGCAGACGGACTAATGACTTCTTGGTTTCGATTGCAGTTATAACTTACAGATGATTCCGTTGGACCAACAATGAGAGGACAAATATAGTCTGAGTCGTTATCTGTTGCCTTTACAGTTTGTTCCAATAAACAGCTCGGCAGTGATAATGAGTTTGACCAGAGAAATGAACTTTCGGATTCAAATCCTTTGAATATGTTCAAAGAAATTACAGATAAGTGCTGCGTCTGAAGTTACGTATGTGACCCCTCTGGACACACGTACTCCCATGACAGTCTATCTGCTCCTATCTGCTCCTCTGTAGTCCAAAGTGCTTCCTTCACCCTCTGAAAGAACTTGAAAAAAGCTGATTTGCTGAAAGGAAGCTCATCGGGACAAACATCTTGAAAGACGTGATGGAACTTCTTTTCCCTGCTGATACGCATCTTAAAAAGTCCCATCTCTAAGAAAGGTTACAGAGCAGGGCCAAACGTATCAGCGGCCCTCTCACTATCCACCCACTCTGATTTAGAGCTCATTACTTTGCTTAGTCTTAACAGTTTCTGTCATGTTATATAAGAGCTGTTTCTTTAAATTGATTTGGTGATTCATTTTAATCCACTCTTTGGAGTCAGAGTACATCTGCAGAAACAGTTAACGGAACGTTTTCTTGTGTACATTATGATTTCATAATGGAACAGCAACCTTGATGTGGAGTTTAAGCAAAAATATGACATTTAAAGTGGAATTTGACACGCGCTCTGACCTAAAACTTAGGCACCATACTCTTTAAAACCAAATTCTGCAAAAACACTTTAACATTTCTGCGTAGTTAGAGCATAATTCCAGGAATAAAACATTAAATTGACAAGTCGCAGGTGCAAATATGAGATGTAAAATGATTCCAAATCAGAATAGAGTGTTTAGAGTCGGGGCTCCAAGTTTGGATGAATCACCGCGGCTAGAGACAGAGACCAAGGGGGAGGACAGGGGGCAGGGAAACAGAAGGAGGAAGATGAGGACAAGGAAGAGGAAGAGCATCCAGGGATTAAATTCATCACACAAGGCAAAATGTCTAGAGTAGCGCCAAAGGAAACGGAGAGAGGAAACAAAGACACTTTGTTAGACCCAAAATACAGGATGAAGACTTTTTATTCCCTTTTCTTGATTATGATTATTATTGTTACTTGTGTATTGTACAGTAGACACAGTATGTTCTACCATTTTGTTGTGTGTATGTTAAAAGCTTAATATATGGCACATAATATGTTGTCATTCTATGTGTGTTTTGTTTCACTATTCACATTTGTTCCACTGTCGTATACTCTGTGCATACTGGTGTGCAAAGAAAATGAAGAATGTTCATATTTTGTTCATGTATAAAGATTTACTTCCGAACAGAATGTTTGATTATAGGAAATGTTTGTTGTTGTTTTTCTCCATCTGTGTTGAACTGTGGGAATATAAAGAAGTGTTTCTATCAGTCCATCCACTAAAAAGAAAACTGTTTCATGACACTTGTCACAATCTGCATGATGCAACTAGTTCTCACCCTCTGATTAATACATGTAATGGTGCAAATAATAATTAGGTTATAACCCAAATGCAAATGAAGGTGTCTCCCTCTACTGGCTGTGATGAAAATTACAGAAAAGTCGAGCCCCAGCAGAAGGTATGAGTTCTTTCCAATGTCTGAAACATTTAAAGCTGATGAGCGGTTCTGCAGGCTGGGGTCTGACAATGATGTTCGTCTCCCTTTATGTTAGGCAGGCAGGCTGGGTCTACCTGTTGCATGTGTTGTTTTATTTGTTTTGTTTTTCATCCTGTTAAATAATAAATTAACCATAATTATGTGCCTCATTAAGTCCTAAAGCTGTTGGCAGTTTAACTTTATAAAAGCAGGACAATTACAAGCCAGCGATTAGGAATCTTCCAGCAGCTCTCCACTCCCAGAGAGGGTTTCCTCCTGTGGTCAGGTGACAAGAGGGACATTGACATTTTTAATTAGGTCAGAGCATCTGTTGCTGTAGTGAGGTGAGGACAACCAGCACAGAGGGTTACCCCCTGGCTGCCTGTCAAACTTCAGCCTGTGAGTTCTGACTAGGACCTGTGCTGCCAGAGGGTCACTCCAGTCACGGGTCAGTTTAATCAAGTTTCACCGGAACACGCGGGAATCGGTTACAGTTACAAGGTAGTAAATAAATTAAAGATGCCTACAAAAAAGAAAAAAACAACCCAGAGAGCAGAGGAGGATGACGAGGACTCGGGGGATCAGGAACTAAAGCCCAAGAAGAAAAGCAAGCAGCAGAAGAAGAAGCAGCTGAAAAACAGTGATGAGGAAGGATCTAATTCTGACACATCAGGCCCTGATGTAAGGAGCACCAAGAAGAAGGGAAGAGAAAAAGAAAAGGTCAAGAAGAAGAAGAAGAACACCAGAGAGGAGGGTGGGGATGAGTTGAGCAGTGAGTCGCAGGACACAGATGATGAAGACAACAATAATGACTCCAAGGGTAAAAAGAGAGGAGGAAAACTCCCCGATGTGATTGAGACCACCAAGAAAGGCTCAAAGAAGTCCTTGGTCCAAGACAAGATGGGCGGCAAGGACAAAAAATCCAAAAAGAACACAGAGAAAGAGGAAGAGCCGGCAGCTGGGGATGAAGAGGAGGGGAAAAAGAAAAAGAAAGAAAAGAAGAAGAAGGGTTCAGTGGCTGGGGACAGCGATGAGGACATCAAAAAGACAAAGGGAAAGAAGAAGAAGGTTGAGAACTATGTCGAGATCTATGAGAATGAGCTCCGGAACTACGAGCCAGAACAAGTGGAGAACTACGAGGATGAGTATCACAAAAAGAAAGGTAATCCAAAAGTGATGTGACAATTAAAACCCACGTTTAGTTGGAGGAGAGACATCTGACACCAGGCGGAGGAGTGACTCCTTAATTGCAGATATATGATTCTGAGTGACTCCACTTGTGATGTGCTAATGCTTTTGTTGGATGTTCATGGTAACATTACACTGAGTGAAGAGGTGTCCATGTATTACCAGTAACCTACAGCTATATGACACCTGTCACTCCTGACCTTTACACAGGCGGGTTACACGTAGGAGCGTCATAGTCGTCTTAAAATTTAAAATGTAAAAAGCCTAATTTAAAGACTGCCTA